CAAATTTTCCTTATATCGAGTGCCATAATGTTAATCTCTCATAGGAGCGGTCGGTGCAGCAAAAAACCCTCTCTTAAATCGAATTAGCCTTATATCGAGTCTCCCTAAATCGAGGATAAGGTGTATTTATTATTTTATTTGACTTTTATCCAATGTTTTTTAAGTGTTTAACAGTTTTTACTAAAATTAAAATTTCTCATAATTCTTACATGTTAGTACAGTATATCCATTTATAGTAATTTATATATTTAATACTTTTATATATTTTATTTTACTTATTAATAAAATTGTTGAATAATCTCAAAAATACCGTTAGAAATTATCAATAAATCCCCTGATTAAAACAAACTGTTATCAAAAATTAGTTTAGGTAGTATTAGTTTATCATAATTTAAAAACGCAAGATATTTATTATGAACATAATGTTAATTATGTACATTATTTATACACATTTGCAATATTTAATTTTAAATGCTTCGTACTAAAAATTTTTAATTTAATTTTAAATTTTTAAGTTATATATAAATTAATATCTGTTTAACTATTTAAATAAAATTTTCAATCATTACTTCTTTTAGTTTTTAAATAATTAATTCATAGAAAAAAAAAGAAAATAATGTAATTTTATTAAATTATTATAATTTAACCAATAATTGAACAATATTATTTATTATTATATTAATATTATCTAATTTTTAATTTAATTACTTTAATGAATTGTTGATATTATTTATTTTCAAAATATATTTTCTAAAACAACTTTATTTAAACACACAATTAATTGCAAACCAATATATCGTGATTTACGCAATCATTTTTCTCTAAGCCGTGAAATCCATAATAAAATTTATAATCAATTTTGCCGACAATTGTGGCGTTTTGTGTCCCACAGCGACCGATATATGTGTTAGTATTGAGCGCGCCGTTAGTGCCCACCAATAGAGCGCCGTCTGGTATGGGGTCCTCTCCATGTCTGGGCACCCATTGGACGTTACGGGCCGTCAACACCTCAAACGACCCCTCAATGTACACCTCTTTGCCGGCGTCCGTCACAACACAACCCAAATGTTTGTTTGCTTTTCCCGCTATTAATACCCCGTTTAGTGTATGTCTGCACACATATAGCGGGGATTGGGTTTCGTCATAACCGGCTACATATGCGTCGACCGGTATATCTCTGGGGTATGCTTTGCGCCACTCGTACGAACATTTCTCTGGAAAATAATGCGTGAGTCATATACAGGTATTTAGGGTAATATAGTGTAAGAACTATACCCTCCTTGTGATAGGTGTTAGTTATGGTGAGAATAAATGTACGGATCTGTTGGGGCTCTAACCGGACGGTTAGGTCGCCATTAAATGACTGACCATTGAATTTATTGATAAAACAATTGTCATTATTTCTGTCACAAGACATTAATTTCCAATTCAATCGTTTAGTTTCGGACAACAACTCATTGGCCGCTAAATTCATTTCAACGGCTTTCACAAAATTTAGTGTTTTCAACACTTTTCCCAAATCAAACTCAACCGCTTCGGAGAGCCGGTGGTTGTCGTCTTTCTCATACATGTGCTCAAAACGGACCAACACTTCCCGCTCTGACCACTTCTCTAATGTCAACAAATGTATGTTTTCGGGCAAAGAGTCGCCGATTGGCGTAAAAGTGGTCACATATTTGTGAGAATAGTCAGCGATTGTTGAGTAGCTGTCAAACGACACAATCGGTC